CTTTGAGGTGAAATGGCTTGAGGTGAAAAGTCTTTCCAGCAGGACTTGTAGATCAGTGGTTTCCAGCCTTGGGTACCCAGATACGCTTGGACTAACACTCCTAGAAATCCTGGCCAGCACAGCTAGGGTGAAAGTCTCTAGTTTTAGTCCAAGAACGTCTGGGGACCTAAGGTTGGAACCACTGCCCTAGATACTGTAGTAACTTCTTTCTGAGAAAGGCTTGTCTGAGACTGAATTTGTATCCTTTAGGTGAGTGGTCCCCAACCTTTTTGATACCGTGGCCAGTTGGGGGGATGGGATCTGGGGGGGGGCACCGCCAGCGCACATGTGTGAAGGGGCAGCATGGGGGCACTCGCGAGGGGTGCACACACATTCGTGTGCATGTGCAGATGGGCTGTGCAGGGGGAAGTGCATGCGGGGGGAGGAAGATCTGTCTCTGTGGCCTGGGCCGGCCAAGAACGCGGACCGGCACTGGGCTGGGGACTCCTGCTTTAGTTTACTTCTTTTTTCTTGATTACTATAGATTTATAACTTTTATTAGAAATCTGTTGAACTAAATGGTAGCAGATAGTATTAATATGCTACTAATAAAGAAATGTGTTCACATTCCCAGTCGTTGTTGAATGTAAAGTTCCTATCTTTAATCAGAAAAACTGCAAAATGCGTATGTCCTATAAGACAGGGGTCCCCAACTTCTGGTCCGCAGCCCGGTGCTGGGCCATGGCCATGGCAGGACTGGGGCCATGGAGACAGATCTCCCACCCCCTGCATGCACTCCACCCACCCACCCCACCTGCACGCACAGCCCGCCACCTGCACACACAGGTGCCCTTTCCTTCCACGAGTGCACCCCGCCTGCTTCACACATGCGCACCAGTGCACTCCATCCCCTGGGAGCGCACTCTGCCCCTCCACGAGTGCACTCCACCCCTTCACGCACGAGTGTGTCCCCTCCGCGAGTGTGTCCCCTCCGCGAGTGTGCTCCACTCCTTTGCACATGTGCACAAGCGCACTCCGCCCCTCCATGAGTGGGCCCGCAAGTGCAAGGGGTTGCCCTACCTGTTCACGGACCCCAGCGCCCCAACCGGTCCGTGACTCAGAAAAGGTTGGAGACCACTACTATAAAATGTAGAGACTGGCTGAATTTGATTCATTGACTGATAACCTGTTGGTTTTGCTATGCCTGCAGAGGAGTGATAACATCACAACCAAGGAGATTTTTGGTAATAAAACTCCTCCCTTGTCTCGTATGGCTTTTCTGACTAGTGAGTAATCATTTCATTTTGTGAAAGCTATAGGAACCATAGTACAGGAGAAGGAAGTTTTTCATTACCAAAGATTTCCACTTGCCATTAACGTAATCTTGCCGTAGTGGTCTTCTATCCCATGGAAGAAGGATGATAGTAATTATTTGCAGGTCAGAAAAACTGAGGGAGAAGTTTTTTCTTAGTCACATTTCTGCATATAGTTGATACAATTGCATGCAGAAGAAAGTCCTTAGTATTGAAATGTAGGCTTCTTGTAGACCAGTTTGGATGCCACACTAAACCAAAGGTGGGCATTCCTAATGTTGCTAGACTTCAGTTTTTGTGAATCCTGCTAGGTAGCTAGGGCAAGTGAAATTTAGAGTCTTAACAATAGCAAGACTGTTGCTTTGTTCTAAACAAACCATAGTTATTGCTAATTACAGTGTGTAAGTTTAGATGATGTGACACTGTAGTTAAGCCAATTGGAAGCAAAAGCTCTCATAAGCCTTTTAATAGGAATTCTAGCAATAAAAATATTGCTTAGTGAGAGATTTGAACACAGCCTGTGTACCTTTAATGCAGCTGTCTAAACAATTATTATTGTTTTTACTATTTTAGAAATACTTTGCTAATGAGTTAGAAAAACCAAATATGTAGCTTGTTAGGTATTATTATCATGCTGTAACAGTTCATATTAGATGTTACATGTCATGTTCATAATTCTGTGATAGAAGTCAAGGATCCAGTTTATTTTAGGTATGTGTGTCATGTGGAAAGGCAAACTGACACCTATCAGTCTGACTGAACTAACCAATTTAGTTTAACTAAATTGTATACTTAAAAACTTAAGTAAAGTTTAAAAAGTGTTCTATATATCACTGTTGGAAGGACTTAATGTTAGCTGGAAGCTTCATGTCTGGCTACAGTCCACAAAGCAGACATTTTAAATGTTTTTCCTGAGATACATTTTGTATCTATAGTTTTTCATTAGCGTTGTAAAGAGATTAACTTTTAAAACAAATATGTATTTAATTAATCCCTTTTGACTTTGTTTTCTCAGACCTGTAAAATTAGCATGTTTCAAATTTATTTTCCTGTTGCTTCAGTGTCATAACTGTTCAGAGTCCACCCATATATGAGCATGTATACTTGCCTGCACGCACAGCCCGCCACCTCATACTTTGCTTGGCTTATCTTCCAACATACTGTTAGTAAAAACACTCATTCTCCTGAGACTTGACTCTTTTAGCTTACTCAAATACTGTTTTTACTAAATCACAAAATAATTTAAAATAATTTGCTTTTTCTGGCTAAAGATGCTATTGTGAAAAATCAAGAAAAATGAATATATAAAGTATTTAAATGTGGGTAAAGGTTATTCCTTCCAGAGGTTAGAAGTAATTAATGTGATAACCAGTAATTAGTTATATTTGGATAACTTGTAACAAGTGTTTGTAAGGTTACAGTAAAAATGTAACAAATTGTTACAAACATATATTTTAGGTTTGATGAGTCTTAGTTATTTGCAACTAATTTGTAAAAGGCATTTAAAGATGTTTGTGAAAAACTTTTAGTAGGAATTTTTCAGATTTGGTGCCATCCTAAGTGAGAAGGGAAGTATGCTTTGGTTTTTCCCCCCACTTCTGTGCTTTTATAAATATTTGCAAGGCACAATTATCAGAATTGGCCACAAGAGCACTCTCTCCCATTTTTTATTTGGTTTGAGGACAACAAATTATTTGAAATAGATCTCTCCTATCTAGATTAGTTTTTTGAAGACAGAGGTTTTCTTGTTAGTTATACTTGTATACCATTTTCTTTTTATGAAAACAGCCAAAGGAATATGAAGCAAACAGGATAATAAAATGTTAAGATCTTTAAACAAAAATCTTTAGACAAAAATATTCAGACAAAATCATTAAAAAGGTAAAACAATACAAGACCAAACTTAAAAGATATGTATTAGCATCTTTTTAAAAACTTGTGATAGTAGGAAGCCAGTCATAATTTGAAGGTAAGTGCTCTCTGCAGGTTGTAAGCTCCACATAAAAAAAGCCCTCTCTTACCTCTCCATCAGGCAGCTCTCTGCAGGTTACATCCAGCCTCAAGAGGACTTCTCTTGTAGATACTGTACAGGTACATGACTAGGCAGATAGGCCTTTAAATAGTGGGGCTCCAAACTACTTGGGGCAGGAGTGGGCAACTTCTCTAGGTCAGAAGTTTGGTGATAACAATTTTAAAAACCATTTAAATAAAGCATACAGTGTAATTAAATTAAGCAAAATAGTTGCTTCCAACATAATTTTTTTCCTATATCTGTTGAAATAAGGTGTTTCAATGTTCAGTGGTGCATTGAGGATGTGCAAACATAGCCATGGATTGGCTACTTGATTGCCATACTTGTTTTAGGGCATAAACTGTAGGTCTTGATGATGGCAATTTTAATTGTATTTTAATCATATTTTAATTGTATTTTAATCATTTTATATTTTATTGTATTGAATTTTAATTGTTGTAAGCCACCCAGAGACCTTTGGGTAGAGTGGGCGGCATAATAAAATAAAATAAAATAATAAATAAAATAATAAACAATTAAAATCAACAGTTTGAATTAAATCCAGAAGATTAATTCCAGCCTGTACAGTATCTCAGTATTGATAATAATGAAAAACATTATTAGCTATACTTTAGAAAGGTTTGAGCATTTTCCTCCTTAATTCAGATAAGCCTGCGGTCATAGCATTTGCATTGCTATAAGTAAGCACATGAAGCTTAGAGAAAAACTTTCATGTGTTTATGAAAGAAGTTAAATCATAAGGAATAAGATAGGGTAGGATGATGCTTTTGACAACACAGAAAAAGAAATAAAAGATAATAGCAAATATGAGACTTCCACAGGTGTGAGTCCCCAGATGTCTGATGGAATTCCCTTAACTAGCATTTTACAGGCTTCAGCAGAAAAGCAAAGTCCTCTCATGTGATTTGAAATACTTATAGCTGAGGAGTCAAGGCTGTGTCATGATAAATCATTATGAAGATGGGGGTAGTGGCTGGGCAAGGCCAGGTTCTGTGGGAACTGCAAGGCATTAGGCATCTGGTAGTTTTCTGAGAGACACCCCGGGCAGAGCATAATGAGCAGGATGACTGCTAGATTTCTAATGTCTTGTAGTTCCCACTGAGCTGCAGAAGTCCCTTCCCAAGATAACAATATCCAATGTAAAGGATATAATGGCCAAAATCCTGTTGATTATTTACTCCAATATGTGTGCAGTGGCATAAATCATAATAACTAATTGCTGCTAACTAAGAGTGGCAGATTGTATTCAGACTCGTTACCTGAGAATAGGATTCTGTTTAGTCGTTTAGGCAGCTTATTCAGTATTTAATACATTGAAGTTATATTTATAGTGGTAGATAGATAGAAACATACTGTGTAGCAAGAATGAAAGCTATGTTTTGGAGGCTTATTCAGCATCCAGTTTCTTCTCATTGTCATCTGTGTGTTTTAAACTAAATTGTAGCTTTTGTTTACAAAGCATTCGTTGCTACTCTTCATTTAGTGGCAAGGAACTTTTGAGACTGACACCGTTTTATTTTTAACAATTATTTGTAATATGTACGTTCTTGTTAAAATAAAATGCTTTGCTTAACTCCTTCAGAGAAGTGTTTTGGGTGCTGAAGTTTTGTTCTGTCTTTTTTGCTCTGGTCACTGAATAGAAACTTGTAGTGAGTTGTTTCCCTTTGTCTCTGTAGTTATCAGAGACTATTACAGACGATTGCGGTACTCGAGGCTCAGCGTACTCAAGCAGTTCAAGATCTTGAGAGTTTAGGCAGACACCAGAGAGAAGCACTGAAAGATCCCATTGGATTTGTGGAAAGTCTTCAAAAGAAGGTATTGCAGTGGGAAATATTAAGCACTGTGGAGATACCATTGATAATTAATAATTCATCTCCTGCAGAAAAATAGTATAGAATGAGATTTAGTTGGGAAGGTCTGTCTAGGACCAAGGCCATTGGATTTGCTTGAATCTGTCATTTTCTCTTCCTGCTTCTCAAATGCATTGTTCGTTCAAGCCTTTGTTTACAAAGATTTCTTTTTAGGGTTCTCTTAGTTAATGCCTGTCAGAGCCTCATGGGTGTGATAGGTACAAAGAATTCTACTTGCTTTAATTCTGCTTCCTCCAATTTCATCCCACTTGGGGCTATTTGTGAATATAGCCTAGGTCCTCCTGGATTTACAGGTAATCAGGACCTGGGATGGCAGCTTAATTTGCTGTATGTTCAGTTATTAAGGAATATCACACTGGCTGTAGCAGTCACCAATGTGAATGACAAGGCAGAGCTGGCTAGTTCTCTAGATGTAATGCTTCTTCTTTACTTAGCAGTGGTACCTTTAGTAGTTACTAGAGTTCATCACACATAAAAAGGCAGTCCTTGTACTTGGGGGGAAAAGAATGTGTGGAGTCCTTGAAGATCACAGCTTATGATCATACATTCAGTTACAGGTGACATTGAAACACCGTGGTAGCACATCAGTTTTAAGTGTATGCCTGCCCATTCACCCATTTTTCTTCTGTCCTGTTGTCCCAGGACAGACACTTTCATCCTTAACTAGGCCTTTCGTACAAGCATGCGGGCATAGAGAAAGCCTATTTGCATTATTCCTAGTAGGAAATTAATAACCAGCATGTAAGCATCATATTCATAGAAAGGAACTGCTTTTCACTGTTCCTCACTGACAGATGCAGTTTCCAAAGAAGTAGCTATGTTAGTCTGTACAAACATATCAAGACAAAAGCAAAAAAATAAAAAATACAGTGGCATCTTAAAGACGATCTACTGCAATCACACCTCTGTTCATGAGGTTCAGTCCCAAACCTCAGCTCAAGGTTCACTCAGCCTTCCATCCTTCTGAGGTTAGTAAATTGAGTACCCAGCTTGCCGGAGGGGAGGAGTAGTGTGCAGCCTGCATAATTAAATGTAAACAACTTTGATAGTGCTTCAAGCGCTATGAGATAATATATATACAGCACACTTTTTTTTATTCACACCTCTGTTCATGAGGTTCAGTCCCAAACCTCAGCTCAAGGTTCACTCAGCCTTCCATCCTTCTGAGGTTAGTAAATTGAGTACCCAGCTTGCCGGAGGGGAGGAGTAGTGTGCAGCCTGCATAATTAAATGTAAACAACTTTGATAGTGCTTCAAGCGCTATGAGATAATATATATACAGCACACTTTTCTTTATATTTCAGTAAGAGCTTTCATTGATATGTTGGAAGAAATGAATGTATCAACAAAAGCTCATAAGAAAATTCAGCAGTGCCACTGCGTTTTATTTTTGCTTTTGACTGAAGGATGACTGAATAGGAGATGGATCTGATGCTTATCCTGATTTGCTGCCACATTGTTTCATTGCCCCCCCCCCTTCCAGCTGAATGTATGACTGGGACTCTAACTAAAGCTATGTTAGTCTGTACAAACATATCAAGACAAAAGCAAAAAAATAAAAAATACAGTGGCATCTTAAAGACGATCTACTGCAATCACACCTCTGTTCATGAGGTTCAGTCCCAAACCTCAGCTCAAGGTTCACTCAGCCTTCCATCCTTCTGAGGTTAGTAAATTGAGTACCCAGCTTGCCGGAGGGGAGGAGTAGTGTGCAGCCTGCATAATTAAATGTAAACAACTTTGATAGTGCTTCAAGCGCTATGAGATAATATATATACAGCACACTTTTCTTTATATTTCAGTAAGAGCTTTCATTGATATGTTGGAAGAAATGAATGTATCAACAAAAGCTCATAAGAAAATTCAGCAGTGCCACTGCGTTTTGTTTTATTTTTGCTTTTGACTGAAACCCCCCCGAATAGGAGATGGATCTGATGCTTATCCTGATTTGCTGCCACATTGTTTCATTGCCCCCCCCCCTTCCAGCTGAATGTATGACTGGGACTCTAACTAAAGCTGTATGTCATTGGCAGTTAAGTTACTTTTTCAGTTTTACTGAAAGAGTTTGAATATTGCAATACTGAAAACTTCCACTTGAGTGTGCCAGTCCAGTACTGGGAAATTAAGAATGCTAATTTCTGGTCAGTCCATAGATCTCTGTTTAGAAAATACCGACTAAAATCTTGTTGCACAGTTATGCAAAGAGAGTAACTTTTGGAAGCAAGTTGGCTGCAGATTAAGAAATGTGCATATGTGACTTGCATGTTGAGTCACATGGCTTGGCATGCAACAAATAAGGTCGATAGGTATTTCTTAAATTACAGCAGTTCACCTCTAAAAGTTATGCTTTTTGTGTAATTGTGCAACATGATTTAAACCATTGTGGTGCTAAAGAAAGTCCATTAAGTGAGTGTGTTGGAGGGTGTGGGATAGCCACATGTATTCTGATCATCATTTCTTTAATTGATGATGTTTATGTTCAGGTATGCCATATTCTACAAATGTATTTCCTGGTCTCTTTCTAATCTCTTTGTTATGATATATTTTCCCACAAAGATGATGGAAAACATATTTTTAAATAGTTAAAAAGGTAGCCAAAAGAGATTCAAATGTGAGAATTTGGCTGCATTTTAAAAATATATAACTTCCTAGAAATAATCATTTTCTGTTCTCCTAAATAATTTATATGCTCTGCTGTGTATTACTCTTGGATGAGTTCCTTTAAGATATAGTGGAAATTTAGTGAGACATGGCTTGATATTACCTTGCAATAGTTGTGCAGTTATGTGACTCATTATTATGAGATGTTGCTTTCTCTGTGTTAATTTCTCCACTTAATTTACTTCTTTTAGGTTGATGTGGGGCTTCCAAAGCCACAGAGAGTGGTCAAACTGCCAGAGATCTCTTGGGACCAATATACCACAAGCCTTGGGAATTTTGAGAGAGAATTCAGAAACCGAAAGCGTAACAGTAGACGAGTTAAGCTTATTTTTGATAAAGGTAAGCAAATAAACAAATTGGTTATAGGAGGAATAGTCAAATTCAATGCAGTAATTATTTTCTATTAATTTTGTTAGGTTTACCTACAAGACCAAAAAGCCCACTGGATTCCAGAAAGGATGGAGAGCCTACTTCATATTCTGTTTTGCCTTTTAGTGATTGTCCTGAAGCTTCAACAAGCAATCGTCCACAGGTAGTTGTAACCAAAAATAAAGCAGAAGTCGTGTTCAGAATTTTACAAAAGAATTTTGGATATAACAAAATTCTTTGTCTAAATGATTGAGCCCCACGTTCTTGACATAATGATCCCTAAAGCAGCTTACAATACTCAGTAGTAGACATACAACCCAACAGTCCTTAGTTTCTGAGCTAATAGAATACTCCAAAAATTGGAGTCTCAGACTGGCATTTGTAGCAGGGTAGATTTGAATTAAATAAAATTAAGTTAAATCACGATTTAAATTTTAAAATTTTCATTTTTTAAAATGATTTGAATTGTGGTTTAAATTGCTTTATTCGGTGGGTAAATCATTGATTTTTGTCCACCCTTATTTGGAGCAAAGTGTTCTTTCTGGCATAAAGCAGGGAAACATGCTGTTCTTTCTTCATGCAGTAGAAAGGGCTAATAAATGGTTTCCCAATTCCCTTGAGGGCTGAGGGTTGCAGAATTCTTTGCTGGCCCTTCATTTCCTGGCCAGTAGCAGAACATCACATATGCTGCTCTTTAGCTCTACAGTCTCAGAACAACTCGAATGATTTAGTCTTTAAATATCTGCCTATCCCAGTTCTTCTTTGAGTTGCTTATAGCAAAGTCTAACAGACTGCCAGGAGATGTTCTCACGATTATTGGCTTCACCTCTGCACTCATACAGACACCAGCGGACACAGGTAACATCAAGGATATATATGACAGTATCAAGTAGGCTTTAGGTCTAATACAGAAGAAATCTGCTCCTTTAAGTCTGCTACAGACGTGATCATCCAGAACTAAGCACAGCAGATGGAACGCTGGGTGCAGCACTACTCAGAGCTATACTCCAGAGAGAATGCAGTAACCGAACAGGCATTAAATAACATCGAGTGCCTGCCTGTCTTGGAAGAGTTGGACAGCGAACCAACTTTAGCAGAAATAAAAGCGACTTTGGATTCCCTCGCTCCCAGCAAGGCACCTAGGAAGGATAACATTCCTGCTGAAATGCTGTAAAGAGATTATCACAGCCAAGCTGTATGAAATCTTTTGTCTTTTCTGGAGGGAAAGTGGAGTACCACAGGACATGAAAGATGCAAACATCATCACATTGTATAAGAACAAAGGAGACAGGGACGACTGCTATAACTACAATGGCATCTCTCTTCTCAGCATTGTAGGGAAGCTGCTTGAGCGTGTTGTGCTGAAGAGACTCCAGGTCCTTGCAGACAGAGTCTATCCAGAATCACAGTGTGGATTTCAAGCTAATAGATCCACCATTGACATAGTATTTTCCCTCAGACAGTTGCAGGAGAAATGTAGGGAACAACAGCTGCTCTTTGTGGCCTTCACAGATCTTACAAATGCCTTTGATTTGGTTAGCAGGGACGGCCTTTTAAAAATACTTCCCAAGATTGGATGTCCACCTTGACTCCTTAACATCATTTCATGAGGAAATGAGGGCACTGTAGTTTTTGATGGCTCAATATCAGATCCCTTTGGCATCTGAAGGGGAGTGCAACAGGGCTGTGTCCTCGTGCCAACCCTGTTTGGGATCTGTTTTGGTGGCAGGCTGAAGGAGGCCTTCGGACCTGAACC